GTCCCAGTTCACCTCCTCGTGCAGGTACTGGGGGATCTGGGTGGTTTTCCCCGAGCCCGTCTCTCCCTCGATCACCAGCACCTGGTGCTGCCCCACGGCCGCCACCAGCTCGTCCCGGAAGGGGAAAATGGGCAGAGCCCGGCGGCCGTCCTGGAGAGACTGACGGCGCCTCTCGGCCTCGGGGACGGCCTCGGGGACATCCTGGGGACAGCAGGGACACCTCAGTGCCACCAGGGACACCTCAGTGCCACCAGGGTCACCCCAGTGTCACCCTCAGTGTGACCAAACTCAGCCCAGTGCCATCAAATCAACCCCAGTGCCACCAGTAACCACCCGGTGTCCCCACTGCTGGCGCTGCTCAGCCTTGGGGACGTCCTGGGGACAGCAGGGACACCTCAGTGTCATCAGTGTCACCCTCAGTGCCACCAGGGTCACCCCAGAGTCACGCCAGTGTCACCAGTGTCACCCTCGGTGTGACCAAACTCAGCCCAGTGCCACCAGTAACCACCCACTGCTGGCGCTGCTCGGCCTTGGGGATGGCCTTGGGGACATCCTGGGGACAGCAGGGACACCTCAGTGTCACCAGGGTCACCCCAGTGTCACCCTCAGCGTCACCAGGGTCACCCTCGGTGTGACCAAACTCAGCCCAGTGTCACCAGTAACCACCCACTGCTGGCACTGCTCGGCCTCGGGGACAGCAGGGTCACCTCAGTGTCACCAGGGCCACCTCAATGTCACCTCAGTGTCACTGGTGTCACTCTTGGTGTGACCAAATCCACCCCAGTGCCACCAGTACCCACCCAGTGTCCCCACTGCTGGTGCCACTCAGCCTCGGGGACATCCTGGGGACACTGGAGTCAGCCTGGAGGTCACCGTGGTTCTGTTTGCCCAAATTCTCCTTTTCTAGCACCTCAAATCCCCACTAAACCACCCCAAATCCTCCCCAAACCACCCCAAATCCCCACTAAACCACCCCAAATCCTCTCCAAACCAACCCAAATCCCCACTAAACCACCCCAAATTCTCCCCAAACCACCCCAAATCCCCACTAAACCACCCCAAATCCTTCCCAAACCACCCCAAATCCCCACTAAACCACCCCAAATCCTCCCCAAACCACCCCAAATCCCC